ATACATCCCTCGCGTCTATATACTGAACAATGTTCTTAGGCAAGACCTATTAATAAGGTCACCCAGTTAGCACAAGTCAGCGGTTATTTCTCAAGTGTAATGTAGAAACTTTGGCTTTTTTTACGTATTTATAATGGAAGTCGATTCACAATAATAGATTTTGACACAAAATTTAAGAGGCAGCTAATATCCAGCTGGTCTCCCCGTACTACCTTATTTATAGGCCTTCTTCTTAGGTTTTCATAACGGACCATGCAGTGTCATATAAAAATGTCAAGTTGTAATGGTAACGTCCAAAACGTGGATTTTTTGTAGTATGTCATCCTAAGAGAACCCAAAATATAGATTATTAAGGGCACAGTTATATTAAGGCTATCCCCAAACTTGAGAATCATTAAAATTTAAGCCTTCTTTTAGGTCCTTGAAAAAATATTCTTTAAAAAACTACGCCTTTTGTAGGTCCTTGAAAAAAACCTTAAAAAAATGTACGCCTTTGTAGGTTATGAACACATATTTTACGCCTTTTGTAGGTCCTTGAAAAAAAACCTTAAAAAATGTACGCCTTTGTAGGTTATAAACAAATATTTTACGCCTTTTGTAGGTCCTTGAAAAAATTTACTCCTTTTTTAGGTCGTTAAAAAATGTTCTTGTAAAAATGTATTCCTTTTGTAGGTCCTTAAAAAATATACGTAGGTCGTTAAAAAATCTTCGCCTTTTTGTAGGTCCCTAAAAAGCTACGCCTTTTGTTGGTCCTTAAAAAATCTTCGCTTTTTGTTGGTCCTTAAAAATTCTTCGTCTTATGTTGGTCCTTAAAAAATCTTCGCCTTTTGTAGGTCCTTAAAAAATCGTTGCCTTTTGTAGGTCCTTAAAAAATCTTCGCCTTTTGTAGGTCCTTAAAAAATCTTCGACTTTTATAGGTACTTAAAAAATATTCTTAAAAAATCAACGCCTTGTATAGGCCTCGAAAAAAATATTCTTTAAAAAAATCCTCGTGTTGTGTTGGTCTCAAAAATATTCTGGAACAAATCTACGCCTTCTGTAGGTCGTTAAAAAAGTATTCTTTAAAATATATACGACTTTTGTAGGTCGTTGAAAAAATTCGTAAAAAATATATACAGGTGTTGAACCTCCGAAATTATTCATTAAAAAATCCAAGCGCCTCGGAAAAATATTCTTTAAAAAATCTTCGCGTTATGTGTGTTGGTATCAAAAAAATATTCTTAAAAAAAACACGCCTTTGTCTTTGTCTTTTTTTTTTTTTTTTTGATTCAATCTTCTATTGGTCCTTAAAAATATTTTTTAAAAAACTCTTCTGTTGGTTCTTAAAAATATTTAAAAAAAAAATTTACGCTTCTGTTGTTTCCTAGAAAATATTCATCGAAATCCTAAATACTGTTAGTTCTTAACTATATTCTGTAAGAAATTCACGCTTCTTACATGTTTTTAAAAATATTCTTTAAAAAATAATTTTATTTTTTCCCTCATCTAAGCGCATTGTAACGTAGGCAGTGCTGCCAACATGTTGTGCATGTCAAACAAAACAGCATTATTTAACGCCGTTGTCTCCGGCAATGCACTGTGTCAGAAGCAATCTGTTGCATGCCCAATCAAATTTAATTCCAATTGGAGCCCCAAACATAACACAATCAATCAAAACAATATAAAATGACCCAAACCGCCCTTTTACCACGTGAATCCGGTGAATATATTGTAAAAAATGCCAAATATATACGAGTTGTGGACAGTGGCATAGAGAAACTGACACAGGAGATTATCAAAGGCATACAGGACAAAGTGATTGATGTCAATAATTTCTCACAACACGATTTGCATCCAAAGCCCACAGATGCACATGCCGTTGAGTGGATATTTGTGGTGGATACATTGAATTTTTGTTTTTGGACACCAAGTAAGTCGGATACAGTATACCCTTCTAATAATTACAGATGGTAATCTTTAATTTCCCTTACAGCCGACTACACCAAATACAAAGTAGATGGTTATACCGGCTACTTTGCTCTGTGTGCTGCCATTAATCGTGCCATGAAAGATGGTCTGGACATAACCAATGCTGAATATTATAGCAAAATCGATTTGGAAACTGTGAAGAAAATCTTCCGTTCAGATGATGGCCAGACAATGGTCCCTCTGCTGGAACAACGTCTGAAATGTTTCCATGAAGTGGGTCAGCGTTTGCTGGAAAAATGGCAGGGCAAATTTGAAAATGTTATACGGGCGGCAAATGGTTCAGCATTGGAACTTTTAAAATTAGTTGTACAAGAATTCCCCTGCTTCCGCGATGAAGCTGATTTTGACGGCAAACGAGTATCGCTGTATAAAAGAGCACAAATCTTAGTTGGTGATGTATGGGCATGTTTCCGTGGTGAAGGTCTTGGAGCATTCCGAGATTTATATCACATTACAATGTTTGCCGATTATAGAGTACCACAGGTTTTGGTACATTTCGGTTCATTGGAATACAACGACGAATTAATGGAGATTTTAAAATCAGATAAAATCTTAGAAAATGGTGATCCAATGGAAGTGGAAATACGTGGTGCCTCCATTCACATTGTGGAAAAAGTTAAAGATCGTGTATTGGAGGAATTGGCGGAGAAGTATCCTGAAATATCTAAGGATCATGTTAATTCCATATTAATTGATCACTTTTTGTGGGACTATCGTCGCCGCTATGCCAAAGAATTAGAATATATACCATTCCATAAAGTATTAAGTGTTTATTATTGAACGATGATAAGTTGAGATATATAAGTGTGCCATGCCATCGTGTTTGACAAGCAAACATATTAATTTGTGATACAAAAAAGAAATAAATGACTACAAAAAGTATATGGGAATTAAACACTGAATTAATTGATAAGAAGCTGAAGCAATATTAAATTCAATATCATCACTCAACTGCAATAGAATAAGCTGCTGAATCAATTACCTAAAACAAACATACAATAAGAAGAAGAAGGATTGTAAGGTAAATTCTTTCTTAATAACTTCCCTTCATATATACTATGTATAGAAATTTCACTAGAGTCCACATGTATTCCCTGATAAACTTTTTATTATGAGATGATATCATGCCATAGGTAAACAAATTGCAAATAAAACTTGTAATCAGAGATAGCCGAATATTTACACAAGTTCCACTTTCAGAGTAGTTGTAGGTAGGTACTACTTTATCTTTACGATCTGATAAAAAAGTGTGTACTTATAAACCTTATTCAAGAGATCATATCTCATTTTTTAAATAGAAAATTTGAAATTACCTCAGTAATCTGGGAAGCTGTTTACAAAGCTGATAATTTATGGAAAAAGAAGAATAATTTGCTAAGGAAAACTAATCAAACATCATGAGCCTGATTTTTGGTACTTGAAAAAATATTCTTTAAAAAATCCAAGCCTGATTTTTTGTACTTGAAAAAATATTCTTTAAAAATCCACGCCTGATTTCTGGTACTTGAAAAAATATTCTTTAAAAAATCCACGCCTGATTTTTGGTACTTGAAAAAATATTCTTTAAAAAATTCACGCCAGATTTTTGGTACTTGAAAAAATTTTTCTTTAAAAAATCCACGCCTGATTTTTGGTACTTGAAAAAATATTCTTTAAAAAATCCACGCCTGATTTTTGGTACTTGAAAAAAATATTCTTTAAAAAATTCACGCCTGATTTTTGGTACTTAAAAAAATATTCTTTAAAAAATCCACGCCTGATTTTTGGTACTTGAAAAAAATATTCTTTAAAAAATCCACGCCTGATTTTTGGTACTTGAAAAAATATTCTTTAAAAATTTACGCCTGGTTTTTGGTACTTGAAAAAATATTCTTTAAAAAATCCACGCCTGTTTGGTGGGGTCCCTTAAAAAATATTCTTTAAAAATTTACGCCTGGTTTTTGGTACTTGAAAAAATATTCTTTAAAAAATCCACGCCTGTTTGGTGGGGTCCCTTAAAAAATATTCTTTAAAAAATCCACGCTTGTTTGGTGGGGTCCCTGAAAAAATATTCTTAAAAAAATCAACGCCTGTTTGGTGGGGTCTCTGAAAAAATATTCTTTAAAAAATCAACGCCTGATTTTTGGTACTTGAAAAAATATTCTTTAGAAAATCCACGCCTGATTTTTGTACTTGAAAAATATTCTTTAAAAAATCCACGACTGATTTTTGGTACTTGAAAAAATATTGTTTAAAAAATCCACGCCTGTTTGGGTCCCTGAAAAAATATTCTTAAAAAAATCTACGCCTTGTTTGGGTTCCTGAAAAAATATTCTTTAAAAAAATCCGCGCCTTATATAGGTCCTCAAAAAATACTTGTTTGGGTGCCTGAAAAAATATTCTTTAAAAAATCCGCGCCTTTTATAGGTACTCAAAAAATACTCTTTGAAACATCCACGACTTGTTTGGGTCCCTGAAAAATATTCTTTAAAAATTCCATGCATTGTTTGGGTCCCAGACATTTCAAAAAATATTCGAAAAAATTTACTGTCCCAAAGCATTTGACATTGCAAAAATTCTTCCAAAATCGCGCGCTTTTTAAAAATCTTGAAAAAAAAATATTAAAAAATGTTCCTCGATTTACTAGCTAAACTATTTCTTCCTTGTGGTCGGTTTTAAAACAACCTACACCCTACCCTATTATTCAAAATAACATGGGTACAGTAACAATTTAAAATAGGGTTTCATACTAAACAACCTCCAAGTTTACTTATTTTCAACATTCAAGAGCATTTTGAATATTTGGAAGCATCTAACCATCGATTTAATTCATGATGTAAATAGCTATTTTAATTAATATCTAAATTGTAACTGAAAGGGTTATACAGATAGTGTTCCGTATGCATTTAGAAAATTTCCTGAGCACTCAAATTTCATTCTATTTCCACAAATAATTCACACTAATAAATATTTCTTCACACATTTTCTTTTTTTCAAAGAATCAAAATTTTGTCAGTTTTTTTTATTCCTTAAAATGGCGTACAAAAGAAGGATACAATCTACTCTTGGAGAGAAACAGGCTTCTTCTTGCCGGCTTGAGCGGCAACACGATCCTTGTAACGTTGATCAGCCTCAGCACGGGACAAGTTGTTCTTGCGGGCGAAACGTTGGTTGGTCAAGAATTTGACATCCATCTGGGAATAAGAAATACAAAATACGAATTAGAAATAAAATGACAACAACAAAGATTTGCATTTAATACTTACACCCAAGGTGGATTCATGGCGTTTACGCATTGGGCGCTTGATGCCATTACGATGGGCTTTTCTGTTTTGATTGTGATTGGTGTGATTCTTTGACTTGGCCATTGTACGCTAAGTGCTGTACGCACACAAAAAAATATTCATCCATATTCCATCATAGACAATCAGCGAACATAAACAAAATTGTCATTACAGCGTATCCAAGCAAAAGTCCCCAGCATAATCCAATGTAATCACCAGCACAAAAGAATAAAAATTAAATAAAAACAATTAGTTTTTGTCACAGACATTTCAAGAAGTCATATTTTGTTGATATTTTCACATTTCTTTAATATTTTTTTACGAATATTTTCATAAAATTTCTATTAAATTTTCTCATTTAGCAACCTACGTTTTTGACGTTTTAGCGGAAAAGAAGGGAGAAATTTTTTTGTTGTTTTCGGCTGTCATTTTTTGTTCGAATTTTCGAAATCATCAGCTGAGGGGATGTGTTTAGTAGACACATGCATAATTGTTGGTGGTTACTGATGTTGCCACATTGCGTGCACATAAAAAAGGAGAAATAGACGTTTTAATTGAATTGTTTTAATATTGTTTATAATGTTAATAATATAATGAAATTGATAAAAAAAATTTTTTTGAGATGAAAGAAAAGATTTTTTTTAGCAAATTACGAGATTGGGTGGACCAAAAAGGTTTATATACTTTCCTTGTGTATCCATACACTTTCTTTGTCTATCCAATCTTGTAATTTGGTAAAAAAAAGTCTTCTTTTCCATCTCAAAAATTTTATTATCAATTTCATCACATTTATTTATTTCACAAGGGATTTTTTTAATGACCAGTTAACACATCCTCCCTATTTCGTAAAAACCTAAAGTTGATTTAGCAGAATCGGTGCCATTATCACGTCATACTGGCTGAATTTGCAAAATCTTACTGTATAAAATGTTTTTAGTAAACTCCAGTAAGTTTGTTGTTGTTGAACTGTCAAACTTGCTCTCTCACTTGACTCTCTTTTACTTGATTTTTTGATTAAAAGACAACATTTGGTAACAATTGTTACCAAATATCGAGCTACTGTTACTAGTAAAAGTATTCGGTTTGGATCATTGGTAGAAGCAGCTATTTTCAAAAAATTGCAAAGTTGCGAATATTTCTCAATATGGCTGGACGAAATAATTTGATAACTTTTATTTTGCGTTCGTTGTGTCAGTTTAAATTACAACGTATTTGAAAGTATTTTTACATTTGAATCACTTCATGGTAGGTCAAGTGGTAAAAATATTTTCGAAGTTGTTAATGAAAAATTATTATCTATATCGGATGTAAAAAAAATCAAATAGCCGGTGTTTGTACAAATGGTGCCAGCAATATGGGGGTAAAAATGATGGGTGGATAGGGCATATGGAAAAAATGGATTTGAGTTTCAAAGTTTACACTGTATTTTACACCAATCTCTCTAATCTAAATTTTTAGCAGAACAACAATGAAAACTGTCGAAAATATTATAAACATAATCCGTCATGCATTAACTCATAGACAATTTGTAGCTTTCCTTATAAAATAAAGGTGCCGTTCACACAGATCTAAAAATACATACCGACGTAAGGTGGTAAAGGTTTTAGAGGTGGTAAAGCCGTGGGGAATGACTTAACCGTTTATTCGTACGACGAATATATGTCAGGAATTTATTAGAAATGGAAGGTATGGACGAGTTTGCGTTGCTCGGGGATGGTGATTTTATTTTAGATTTGGTATTTCTGGCAGACATAACTGGTTTTATAAATGAATTTAACAAATATCTACAAGGAAAGAATAAAAGACTAGATAACATGTGAAAAGGCCTTCGAACGGAGATATTTCTTTGCTGAACATGTTTGTTACTTCGTTTAAATGCGATGTAATGAATTATGGTTTTGATATTCAATCGGAATTCATTATACCCCGAAGCGAAATTGAACCGATTGAGATATTCGATCCAATTGAGTTTTGGAAAATATAAACAGATCTGAATGTGTATCATATTTTGCTTCGACATATACAGTGGCTCCATCGAATAATCGGACAAGTGTTTGTCAGATATAATAATGCTATACATTTCAAAAAAATGTCTAAATGTGTAGTTTTTTTTCGCTTTTAGTTACACATTACTTACTTATATTTCTGAACAATACAAAAAGCAACAACTTTCCTAGTGATAAAAGTAAATTTCGTCAGAAAAACAAAATTAACTCAATTTATTGTGTTCAACGCAAAATCGGACAAAACAAAGTATCAATGTTAAAAGTCCCGTTATTATGCAAATATGAACTTCAAATCTGTATTTTGTTTGTCGTATTCATTTGTAAATTGCATTTAGATCAAGAAAGTGGTAAAACTAAATAAAAATAAATTTAAATGGCTCCAAAAGGGAAAAAATTCAGTGTGGAAATCAGACAATTAATAGATAAATTGAATTATGAAGGTAAAACAGTAAGAGAAATTGCCGTATTGGTTGGAATGAATAAATCTACTGTCCACGACATTATAAAGAGGTTCCGTGATGAGTTCAGATTGACCAATAAAAGCTGAGAAGGTCAATGGAAGATATTGAATGAGCGAGAAGAGCGTTCGATATTAAAAGAAATAAAACAATATCCATTTAAAAGCGGAAAATAACTTAAAATAAATTTAAAAACTCGCACTTGAAAAGTTGTGTGCCTAAATACTATTCGCAATACATTACATAAATATGATTATTATGGAAGAGTTGCAAGAAAAAAAGCATTTATAAGCCTTAAAAATAAAAACAGTAGAATAAAATATGCCAAGGAGTATTTACTAAAATTAGAAGATTTTTGGAAGCAGGTAATTTGATGATAGATCATCTTAAAATACATTTCTATTGATAGTTTCCATTATATTAAGGATCTGTTTACTGACGAAAGCAAATTTAATTCGCACGGATCAGATGGAAAGATGTATGTGTGGCGTAAGCCAAATGCTGAATTTAATCATAAGAATACAAAAGCCACTGTTAAGCACGGATGAGGTTCTGTTATGTTTTGGGTCTGCATGTCGAGTGCGGGAATATACAATTTGCATTTTATTGATGGTAAAATGGACAAATTTGTCTACCTCAACATTTTAAAACAAAATGTAAATCAAAGTGCAGACAAATTGGGTATCGCGAACAACTTTGCCTTTTATCAAGACAACGATCCCAAGCACACATCAGGTGTTGCAAAGCTTTGGTTGATCCATAACTGTCCCAAACTTATACAAACACCTGCACAGAGCCCAGACCTTAACGTAATTGAGCATCTTTGCGAAGAATTAGCTAGAAGAGTGTATGAAAAAAATGTAACTCCTTGGTACAGCTTAAGGAGGCTTTACTGAAATCGTGGAACTCCATAGAGCCGGAGGTATGCCAGAATTTGGTCAAATCAATACCGAAGCGTTTACAGGCCGTTCTGGACAACAAAGAATATGCAACTAAATATTAATTTCTCGATTTTTTGCATTTTTTGACATTGATACTTTGCATTGTCCGATTTTGCGTTGAGCACAATAAATTGAGTTAATTTTCTTTTTCTGGCGAAATTTACTGTTATCACTAGGAAAGTTGTTGTTTTTTGTATTGTTCAGAAATATAAGTAAGTAATGTGTAAATAAAAGCGAAAAAAACTACACATTTAAACAATTTTTTTGAAATGTATAGCATTATTATATCTGACAACCACTTGTCCGATTATTCGATGGAGCCACTGTATGTGTGAGCAGATATTTTCTGACGTCAAATATATATATATATATATATATATATGTTCGAAGCAAAGAAACAAATTAAGCTCTGCACATTTGAGAAGCATCATGGTTATCCGGAACTGCAGAAGTCCTGCTCCCTATTTGCAAAAAAAAACTCTAGTAGTCGATTTTCACCATACTCCCTAGATACAAATTTGTATCATTAAAGAAATTTTGCAATGCAAGAAAAAATGTATGGCGGATGCATTAAAACTTCCCCACCAAGCTCCCAAAGTTTTTGACGAGTCACTGCATGTTTGTGGCTTAGCGTTGTCCTGGTGGAACATTTCGGACCATTTCTGGTCAGTTGTTATCTTCAAACGGTCCAGTTGTTGACAATAGAGATCAGAATTTAGCGTCATATGGAAAACTTCCTTGCCGTTAGTCCTGGTTTGGCCAACGTTTGATTTCTCATCTCCAGTCACCATCCGTTTATGAAATGGGTCTATCTCAATCCAAGGATTCGCGGATTGAATTTCGATCCATTCTGGGGCACTCAAACATCGAGCTTATTTTTGAATACACCTTTGAGTAAATTGTTTAAAACAGTTTATTTTTAGCTCCTGGGCGTTGTTACGACTACCTACATGCCGGTCAAATTCGATCATTTTTCCGATGTTATAGACATTTTCATAATGGATTTCTTTTTCCCAAACTAATATGTTTATTTTTGTCTATAAACAATTGTCACTTGCTTTTTAGTCAAATGATTCCCAATTCAAGATTTAATGTTTTATAACTTTGGTCCAATATTTTACGGTTGTAAAAGTATATAAAAAGGTCTGACTGAAAACTAAAATACTGCTTAAAATCATTTGGTCTGTTCCCATACTGCAAGAATGTACTATTTTTTACTACGTTAACACTTTTCCCTCCCATTTTCGGGGTCAAACATTTTTTGATTTAATTCGAATCTACACTAATTCAATAATGTCTCTACAAAATTTCAAGTGAAAATCTCAAAAGCTCCTTAAGATATAGCCGTTAAGATATAAACGTTAAACACGTTTTTCTCTTTTGCGAATGGCGGGCACGATAACTCAAAAACTAAGAACGCAATCGATTCCAAATTTTTACTCGTTTCTCTGTGAGTGTATAGCTATCGTATGAACTAGGATAAAGCCAATCGGAGAAGATCTTCCTTATTTTTTAACTTGGTTTTTGGTCAAAAATCGTCGATTTCCAAAAATATTTTTTCAAAGGTCCGCCATTTTGTTAGCGAATTCGATAATCCTAGTTCATACGAGAGCCAGACATGTTCTCTTTCTACCACCGTTGGAACTTCTCTTTAATTACACAAAACAATTACAATTTTTTTTTGTAAATTATTTTTCTTCTCTTTTAAATCTTCAAATATATATGTTCAAAGTTACAAACCTTAACAAGCATTGGTATTGATTTACCAGCCCATTGAAAATCTTGAAAAATTAAAATCCCTGCAATACGGGAACAGGCAACTTATTTGACTCGGTTCTAACAAATTTTCGGGTTGCTTTAAAAAGACGATGTATTTTTCTTAAATTCAAATAATTTTTCTTAAATATGCCAGTACTAAAAATTGCCACTATGCAAAAGTATCATTATCTGTCAAGTTGCATCTTACTTCTTAAAATAGTGATTGATGTAAGCACACGTTGTAATACAAATCATACTTTTAATTTTCTAAATAAATAAATGAATCACATATGAAATAATCATATTACTTTCCATATCCAAAAAATTTAAATTTATTAAAATTTCACATTTTATTATATTATTAAATACAAAATTTTACTATATACAATTTTGTAACTAAAATACATTTGTGTTTCCCTTAAAATGGAATTGAGTATTATCAACTAAATAATCTTTTATAATTTACAATGGCTAATTAATTAATTTGCGTTTTATAAACTCAAATACAACGTTTTATTACAATGAAACAATTTTCTTCTATTTCCCCTCTACAAGTTTTGGGGATTTTTACAACGAAATGCAACCCTGCTCGCTTGACCGACATTGACAGCAGGCGAGCTGTGTTCTGTTTACCTAAGAAAACAGTGTTGCATGGCCCTTGTCATTCTACGTTGAAGTTTATTATCGCACGCACGTGGTGGCATTCTTTCAATAGGAAACATCAGTCCGCGTGTTTTTGCTGCCGTGCGTTGCTTCGTTTTTTCCAATTTGTGAAATTTTCTAAATTTTGAATTAAATCTAAATATGGGTAAACCTGGATTCTCACCAAGAGGAGGTGGTGGTGGCCGTGGAGGTTTCGGAGGCGGTGGACGTGGTGGTGGCGGTGGCCGTGGAGGTTTTGGAGGAGGTGGACGTGGTGGTGGCGGCGGTGGCCGTGGAGGTGGTGGTGGCCGTGGAGGTTTCGGCGGACGTGGAGGAGGTGGTGGTGGCCGCGGAGGTGGCGGTCGTGGAGGATTTGGAGGTCGCGGTGGTGGCGGCCGAGGAGGTGGAGCTGGACGTGGCCGTGGAGGCGGTGGTGGTGGCTTCAAAGGTGGCAAAACTGTTGTCATCGAACCCCATCGTCATGAGGGTATCTTCATTGCCCGTGGCAAAGAAGATGCGTTGGTTACACGCAACTTTGTACCTGGTTCCGAAGTCTACGGTGAGAAACGTATCTCCGTCGAAACAAATGGCGAGAAAGTCGAATACAGAGTCTGGAATCCTTTCCGTTCCAAGTTGGCTGCTGCCGTCTTGGGTGGTGTTGACAAAATTCACATGCCTCCTGGCTCTAAGGTATTGTACTTGGGTGCTGCTTCTGGTACAACTGTATCACACGTTTCCGATATTGTCGGCCCCGAGGGTCTTGTATATGCTGTAGAATTCTCACATCGTTCTGGTCGTGATCTGATAAATGTAGCCAAAAAACGTACCAACATCATCCCCATCATTGAAGATGCCCGTCATCCACACAAATACAGAATGCTGGTCGGTATGGTCGATACCATCTTCGCCGATGTAGCCCAACCTGATCAGGGTCGTATTGTTGCCCTGAATGCCCAACATTTCCTTAAGAATGGCGGTCACTTCGTCATCTCCATTAAGGCTTCCTGTATCGATTCCACCGCCCAACCTGAGGCTGTGTTTGCTGCCGAAGTCAAGAAAATGCAGGCGGACAAATTGAAACCACAAGAACAGATTACCTTGGAACCCTATGAACGTGATCACGCCGTTGTGGTCGGTGTATACAGACCGCCAGCAAAGGGTGCCGATTCATAAGCATTTAGATATTTTGAATGTTTTATTTTTTAACTGATAAACAATTTAATTTAGCTTTAAGAGTATTCACCTACCTACAAAACTACCTATATTACCTACCATTTTTTTAATTTTACGTTTTTTTCTTCTACAAAAAAGAAAAGTACAGAAAAATGCAAAAGTTTTTTTATATTTAGAATAATATAAAAAAGAATGATGAGAACTAAGAATTTTAAATAAAAATAACTTGTAGAATCAAGTTGAAAAAAATCGTAAAACAATTTTCTTTGTTCTTTTAATTTGTTGGGTTATGATATTTGTAAAAAACATGTGGAAAGTGATGATTGTTTGTAAACAGAACACATACGCACTGTACCTTGTGTTGATATCGATGGCTGGCCAACATGTGGTTGAGCAATTCATTATTATGAATGGTTGTAAATGGTAGTTATGTATACTACATCATTGACTTTGTTACACGATATATTTTTTGTTGTAAAAGAAATTTCAAATATGTTTCAAATATGTTTACGATTTTTCAAATATGTTTACGATTTTAGATTAACGTTGACAAATTGATATTTATTTACCTTTCATATTTCGTTTATCTTAAAGAACAAATTGTTTGTCGTTTATAAAATATACAAACAATTCAGCATACAAACTGTTACTATGCGAATTTTAAAATAATGATGTATAAACGCATTCTCTCTTTTTGTAAAATGTATGGATGTAAATGTCAGGAAGATGTTATATTCGGTATTATAATTAAAATACATATTGTAATTTTGTATAAAGGTCAATTCCCTGTTAATCGATTATCTTGTAAAGATTGGAAACCTTATGTGGAACGAATTGAAAATATGAAGGCAGCAAATGCTTTATAATTTGCCGATATACAATATATAATTATATATAATAGAATAATAATGGGTACAAAATATCGTATATATAAAATTTGAAACGATTTCATTGTATAATTTCAGTAGACCAAAGATAATTTATTGAAGAAAATTAGTTTTGACTTATCTACCCTTTATTTTGTATTGAAAGAATTCAGTTAATACATTGTAATAACTATATGATACATGTATAAACTTTTATGTGGGACTTACTTTTTCTCAAGAGTCAAGACTTTTGTATGTTGTAATCTCGATATAGTTCTGCAAGTACTCACAGTGTCAAATCATCCTAGAATATATTTACCATGACCCAGCCTATATATAAAAGTCCCGATCGACTTTAGGTATTTTGAATTTCCACCTCATGGTAGAGGTTATAATGTTCGTTTAAATCGAATGTCCGCGGAAATTAATTTTAATGAGAAGAATATGAGCCCCATATATAGATAGATGAAATAATGAGTGATACTAGACCCACCATTTAATATGCCTTTATATAATTTCTTATATCGCTGAATCAACATTGATTGTTGCCACAATTATAAACCGAATATCGAATATGATAGAAATTTTAGATAAGTATACCTTTTTTGATGATGATAATGACTTTTATGTGAAAAACTACAAAATTTCCACGCTATAGCGCATATATTTACTGCGGAAAGCCAGTATATCCAAGAGGAGTGATAGCCCTTTGTTACCAATTATGTACTCGGATGTGGAAGTTACCTTAAGTATTTACATGAAATCACGAAGCCAGGAGTTTAAAGATGACACATACATTTTTCGTTTGTTGATCGGTTAATATTTTTAGGGGTTAGATCGACCGAAATAATTATTTGTATTTGTGTTATTTTATAATCGTTCTACATAGCACCTTTCCAGATCTTTCGATCTAGACATGTGTGTCCATCCGCCTGTCCATTATAATTTGTAAACAAGATACAGGCCGCAGTTTTGGAGCAATCTTCTCGATTTTCCATTTTTTGTTTGAAACGATATTTAGGGAATAAATTAGATCAAAAACGTTTTTTTGACAGTTTTTCTGGACGCTCTAGAGGCCATTATTATGAGCATTACACATATTGTTTTGATGAAGATCGGTCAATATTTAGCTTGACAAATGGACCGAGGTTTTTGTGTAAGCAATGACAACATTTGGATTTTATGGCGTATATATTTACTCCTGAAGGTTATAGACCCGAGAAGTTGATAGTATATCCAAGGGGAGTTGTTATCCTTTAAATTGATACCAATTATAATGTCGTATGTACACGGATGTGGGAGTTACACGTAAATATTTTACGTGTTTACGTGTTTTACGTATTATTTAGTAACCCATTACCACACTAGAAAGCGAAAATATAGCGTTGATCGCTTTGAAATTTTCCATGAGTATTCAGGTATGGTCAAGGACAACGCCTATAATTTTCGTTGGTGGTCAGATAATAATATTGGGATGAAGTGGACCGAAAACTTAATTGCTTGTGTCTTTTTCGAGTCGATGTGTAGGCCATAATTGAAAGCCGAACATCACAACACATCCATCGGTGAAGGAAATCTGGAATATTTGTTGACCTCTATTCGGTCAAGAGAGTGAAAATATCGCGAAATATTGCCTAAGCTCAGAATATAGAACCACACACAAAGTTAGATTTTCGTGGATGTTGTGTAGGGTATCATATGGTCGGATGGGGCCGACCGCTGTTATGAGCCAATAACCACAAAGTTTTCCATGTAGGAACGGTTCTTGCTATATATATATATATATATATAGTGGAAAAACGTTAAAAAAAACTTTATTTTTGTCTGCTTTTCTGGTCACTCTATTGTGAACAGTTCATCACGAAATATTTAGGCGGTCGAATGGGCCAAGACTTTTGTGTGAATAATAACAAAAATTACACTCTACGGCGTATATCTTTACTCATGAAAGTAGGTAGCTAGAAAATGGTGTGGTTGAGCTTTAAATTGATACCAATGTACTCAGATAAGTTATAGATATACACGAATAATTACAAGGGGGTAGTATAAGTTTTTAATAGCAGTATAAGTAGGATATAATATAATTAATCATATATAATTATTGACATAATATATTATTATTAGCATTATCACACACTCAAATATATCGCAGATCGTTACGAAATTTTTCATTTTGTGGATGATAATGAATGATGGCACCCACAGTTTTCGGATGTTGAACGGTTACTATTTATGGGATTAAATCGGTAATTTTTTGTCTATTTTTCTAATCGCTATACAGACATAAATAGGGTCTGGATCCACACATCACGAACTTTTGCAGGGGAAATTGTTGTATTCTAATACCTATTCAAGTCCAAGTTTTTTGGGAAATTTTAATTTTTTATCTTACAATTTGTTAATAGAGATGAATATAACCATAGCACCAGATTTTCGATGTTTTTAATTTCTATAGGAATTAACGCAGGTGTGGAGTTTTTTAAGAAATATATTTCCAATGACCAATACAGGAGTGATTATTTAGAAAAATGTTTTGTAGAACAAAAAAAAAAAAAAAAAGGCGTGCATTCTTTAAGGGGACCCCATCTCCCAAGGACCCTCCATTCTCGGTTTAAAAGAAAATGAATTTAGTTGCGTTGTTATTAATTCTAGTTCATAAGAATGTCGTCGCTGTCAACTACAAAATTATATAAATTAATTTTTATTACTTTTTCAAATGCACGGACTTCTTAAAGATAAGTCTAACATAGGCGTGGAATTTTTTAAAGATTTTCTTTCTGGGACTACATTAAGTAAGATGATTCTGTCTAAGGGATTATGACCTTGTCAATCAATAATTATCTCAAGAGATGCTAAGAGCTTTCGGATCTTATTTTCCAGCTTGCACAATCTGCTTGATGTTGACGTGCGAGAGAGAGAGAGAGAGAGTGAGGTTATCGACAAACATTCCAGCAAATTTTGGCATTATTGACAGTGAGAAGGACATGATCTCATGATGATCTCAATCAGATTTTATATACATGTACATTTAAGGGGTCCCCACCCATTCTCGGTTTCAAAAAATTTAATTTTATATTTTGATTTAATTCGAACCTACACTAATTAAAGAATGTCCCTATAAATTTTCGAGTGAAAATATCAACAATTTTTTGAAGATAAAGCCGATTTTTTTGTGTTAGCATCAAGTGACAGCAAGAGGGCTTCTCAAACGTTAAAGCCAATCGGTGAAGATCTTCCTTATTTTTGAACTTAGTATGTGGTCAAAAATAGGAGATTATCAAAAAAATAATAAAAAAATTCAAAGATCCGCCATTTCGTTAATTGTTGTGCGAAGTCAATAATCCTAGTTCTTACGAGAGCCAGACATGTACTCTTTCTAACACCGTTGGAATTTTCGGATTCCTATGTTCCTGGGAGGTCGCCATCCCTTAATCTTTTAATACTCTGTGCCTTATTTATATTTCTGTCCGATTACATGTTAATGGTGCATCAAAGACCCAAGAGTTGTCCGATTTACACGACATTTTGCACCGATTATCGAATTAAATATAGAATGATATGCACCGTGTTATTTTTAAATCGGTTCAGATTTAGATACATATTCCATATATAATTTGGCAAGATTTCGGGTAAATAACTTCTCTAAGTACTAAAGTCTTTCTGACTTCATATCAATGGTGGACCAAAGATGATATGACTGTCCGATCGATAGAAGATTTTGAAGTATTTGAAGTTTGGTTCAAATATATTCGCATATATTAGGCGTTTCTCCTGTAGTACATACCCACAATAGTTTTGGGAGTCATATAGTCGATTCTTATTGATTTATGTTTTCCATGGTCTACAGATATTGTCCGATTTGAGATTTTGTAAAAAATCTCAACATTCATGCAACAATAGTCCTCCTCATGCGATACTCATTTCTCTTATAAAAAGTTCCGGTCCAGCCGAATTTTAAATAATTTACATTTTATTATGCTGTTCATAAATTTATTTTTAATTAAATTTTTTTGGGATTTCCGAATAATTATTCCCTGCATACGAAAAATACCATTATTTTATGGTTCAATGATTTGCTAAAACTTCCATTACTCGTATCCAAGACACACACACACACCAATATTTAGTACTCTTTCGTATTAGGCTGTG